GCATGATTGAACTTTCGTCTATGAAAAGCCCCTCTGTATAACTGGCCGGAGCATGGAGTCTTACAATCCATCAAACCACCTCAAGATGCAGCCTCATCGAGAGGGTGTTTAACAATTGGATGGCGTCCATTGGTATTCCGCTCTCTTTTATCGCATACCGAGCACTCATTATGTGGTGTTTTTTAATACTCAATGTTTTCAAGTGTGAACCATTTGCATCTGTCTTCCCAAATAGGCTCCGATCACTAAGGAACACGGTCAATGACATATTGGACAAGTACATGAACCAGGTTCGCGAGTGCTTGAGATCGTTTCGTCAGAAGCTGGAGTATCAAACTCAGGAAATACGAAATTCAAATATGGCCCTTGTCGACACACTTCGGTATGTCATAATTACGTTTCACAGGAAATAATATGTGTAGAAACGTGGAAACGATGTTCGCCTTGCCCCGTGATAAAACTCACATGATAATCATGTCATGACAACTTAAGTGTTCCGGCTGTTTGTTATCACTGATATGATTTCGAAGTTCTTTATTCGTGACTTACACCAGGCAATGATATACACAGTGTTTTTATACTAAGTAGCATATGAATTAATGGATGAAATTCCCCAAATGTTTACTACCGAATTCGCGGTCATTGCATCCCGTCAAGTATGCGTATTTGGTAGTCTTGTATCTGGTAATTATTATACATGGACTCCCGATGTGAATTAGGGAATGCAAATCTCATTTTCAGCTCGGCGGGTGGGGTGGATTTGAGACAAACAAGTGTCGAAGATTCTTCGCGATGATTATGATGAACGACAAAAACCGCGAAACCGGTCGTCTGTTCCTGGGAGGTTGTTCCAGTCTTTTATATGCAACTCATTATAAAAAAACACTGAAAATTGACCATGTAGTCGAGTTGGCTGGGGTTAGAAGCATCCTGCCCACAACACATACAGAATCGTTGCAATGATTCTTCGAGGCTTTTTCATTTAAAACTAACTCCCCGAGACGCAAATGAGTTTTGCGTTGCCTTATAGTTTACACATCATACGTCATATTTGTCGTTTCATCTTTATTGAAGCTTTCGTTTATCATCAGTAAAGTATAATAAAGTAAGGTTTTTCACTAGAGTTAAACTCATGAGTTGTATTAGCACAATTATAAATGGTTGAACAGCCATTTTTGTGCATCTAATTTCAAAGCATAACTGTATTTACTAGAGGCCTTCAAGGTGTTACAACACCTTTTTCTTTTAATTTTCGCCAGAAACTGCCAACACTAAATACGTAGGATGCTTGATACAGCTCGAATCGCTAGGCCTATGGTTATGTCCAATTTTTTACTGGTCCCCTTGAAGCTAGATCCAACGCCTGTTTTAAATTTCGCCTAAATGATGGAGGTGTAGTGAAAAAACCTTGAGAAGCTAGCCTACTGTCTCATAAGCAAACCCATTTAACGGTTTGGTAACTATCGCAGAAACATTTTTGCTGTATTTCTATCGCTTCCATTAATATTTTTTCTCGATCTAAATGGTCCGAGGCAGGTAGTGGGTGGAAAAAGTTCAAAGGCGGTCAAACCAAGACCGGGCATGAGATTGTGAAAACTACAACCAGGACAATGGGCCACATAGCCACCGTTAGGCTCCATGGCTGGGGTCCCCTTGATCATGGTAACCAGCAGTTAGAGACACTGAGGGCTTTGGCTCAGTGTCGTAAACAGTGGCGCTTGGGCATCCACTCAATATTCTTGCAACCCCAGTCTATACGAATTATCTATCTCCTTTTGACTCTGCTCATGTCATTCCACTTTTCATTCTATCAAAAGACAGCAACCAAAACCGGCGCACGAAAGTGCATGTTTGTAAAAACTGAAAAAGTTTTTTCTCGTGTACCGCTTTTGATACCAGCCTATTCACTGAGGGTGGAAATTTCGCCCAGGATGAAGTCCGACGATTCCGTACGCGATTGAGTGAACTTGGCTCACAAATCACTGTCACGGAAGAGCATATTTCGGGGAAGTTGGAATCGATCGAAGGTGGACGACAAAGTTTTGTTGATCATCAACGCAAACTCTTTGAACAAGAGCTACGTGTTCACATGATGGATGTGACGTATATGGAGAATATTTTGCGCTCCGTGACGAATGCAATTGTGAGTTTCTGTTTGAGTATTGTATAACCATGACAAAAACATGAGACTTAACGAAACCAACTGAACTGCTTTCCAAGCTCCGTCAAATTATCTGAATTTCTGAAGGAAATCATGGAACCCAACAGGCCAATAACCATCATTTCCAACTGGATTTGGAACGCAAAGCACCACCTCGTTGCACTTTCTTAGGCTATTCAATTTGTTTTCTTCTGAATGTCATAATGTATAGGGTAGCAACACTGACCATTTTATTCATGTGATTGATCACATATATATATAGATAAGTGAGTATCATACATGTTGGCCCATTTTGTTCATATGCACATACAACCCCAGATTATATCACATACGATTTCATCATATAAATCTAGTACGTTTGTCTTTCAGATCGATATCACCACTTTTGAGTATGTTTTACTTCTATCCACTTCTGTGACACGACAGACAGTGTGCGAGCGACGGACGAGTTTAACTCAAAAACTGCAAGCAAAACGAGATCCACTTGATATTGGTCTTTACGTTGAATGATGGACTGATCAAACAATAGCACAACTTCACCGTAACGCAAATGCCCACAGTGATATACGGTATCATTTAGCTGTGAACTTTTGAAAACCTCAAAATGTAAACCACTAATCGGGTCACGGTATTATTTCATTTATTTTGGTTTCTCTGATAAGTACCATCACACATCGGCGGTACAGACTTTCCCATAACGGAAATTAACCTCTTGTTTTGTCTGTCCTGTTGTACATACAGACGACCAGATGTAGTAACCGAATAATCATGGGAAAACACTTAACCCGATGATTGGAGATAAAATGTTTACACGTTTTATCTACTCAAAACGAAAAGTGCCCATTGCCTTCGTTTCAATAATTTTTTTAATACTCCTATTCGTTAACAAAAGTAATGTATCTGATATGGTATTTTACCACGATGATTTTGTATTTTGTCGCCAGTCTATTGATGATCTCATAATGTTTCTTACTATACTCATAGACTAACAATAAAATGTTGAGATTGTTCCATTCTTTCTATCATCAACGATGACATTTAGACCTTAGGCTGTGAGAAGGTAAAAGTTTTCCCGCACACTTTCCTCAACAGACTCAGATAAAATCTAATGTGGCTGATAGTGAAAGTCAGAAGAAGCGTCTACGGCAAGAGCTGGCTGAATTCGATTCAATTCTTGGTCGTCTAAGCGGATTTGTTCAAGCTCGTGATCACCTATTACAGCAGGTAATCACTGAGACCATTCCACTGATGACGGGATTTGCGAACTCCACCTCAATGCAACCGGTCGCTCTGAGTGAGTTTAAATGGAACGAGAGTGATAGAGCAATGCAACATGAAGCAAGTGCCATGGCTATCCGGTTATTGACCGGGCTGTGTTCGAATGCGGCGGATCGTTGCGTGTTTTTGAACTGTCTGCGTGCACAAACTGAACCACCAATGGATGAGCATGCCCAAGGAGGAGGACAACCTTCTACAAACCGTATTGGTCAGGTAAATATAATTCTCCTTTATAAGTCTTATTAACCCCACATAATTTATCTCCTGAGACTGCGGTTACTCTACAGATTATCTTTTTGAATAGAACAATTGTTTATCTCGTCATGGAGTTACGTTTCAAATTGGATGCCTAAAATGAACACTTTTGTTGTCAACTTTTTTATCTGAAGCCTTCGTTTATCTCAATGTAGGGCTTATGTACAATTAATCAAAAAAAGATGTAAGCAGTCCCACCGGAATTGGTGGATGAATATACACAGATAGAATCTGCAGAACCCAACACTCAGTCCTCTGATCAAAAACACACTATTGATCTATGTTTGAATACAGCTTTTATGTACGCAGCATAAAATATTCTGTTCACTTCAACTGACAGTATTCATAGAGTAAGTTCTAAACCAGCAATTTTTGAATAGTAGATAAACACGCACAGGGTTCTTAAGGGTTTCTATTTATTTTGGCATTTCCAAGGTTCTCTGCGCCATTTCTCAGTGACCGTTCATGGCAATCATTTTTGCGGGGGTACTCCGTAAGAAATAATGTTGGTTATCAGTATTGTTCATCGGTTGTATTTTATTTTCTGTTTAAAAAGCAACGTGGGGTCGAACTATTTAGGGCCCATACTATCGTATTCGTGAACACCGCCCGTTTTAGTTGACCAACGGGAACAATCAAAAGCGATTGCGAGCGTGGTTTGCCAAATCAAATCCCTCCGTGTATGTCAGCAACGCGTTTCGACCTATTTAAATAATCCACCGTAGTCATACTATGCTTCGCTTAGACGTACAATCAAAAATGGGGTCTTTCGTTTAGGCCCCAACAACAATGCGGAATAGGGAACGCAGCTGGAGAACAAGTCAGAGTGTATTCTATGATTATAGCACAACACGAGCATGCAAAGGGCAGATCTAAAATAACAGAACGACATAGTGACGCATCGATCAGAATACGTCTTAGACCTTCTAATTGGTTGATCAGACAACCGTTGTCTGACTCGTCCTTCAGTCATCCGATGCTGAGGCTGTTTTCTTTTAGCGTCTCGAGCGTGATTTTGGCGTAACATGAATCCGTGCGCTAGTGTCACGTTCCGTGAGCTCCGCACTAACACACACACCCCTTTTTAGGTTTATTTGAATGATTTTAATATCAAGCGCTTTGCATGCGGGACTCAATTTACTTTTTTCTCTTAAATCTTCTTGTTAAGTTGTTCCCATGGTATGCGTCGGTAGGCTTGCGTTTCTGTCCTGGTGTTATAAATTACCAAGAGAGCAGCGATACGAGAAGAGTTTTTTATTTGAACAGCATCGGCTTGGGGTATACAGGCTTACATAGAACAAAACATCTAATTTGCAACGATCGGTTAGTATCTTCGTCTTAGTTTCTTCGTCAGTGATGGCCAGTCTGATAGTTTGTTTGTTTCTCCTGAAGTTGCAGAAGTGAATCTTTTAGTTCACTCACGGATCACACGGGAATCCAATAGCCGTTTCTCGCAAGTGGGGAAGTACCTTACAACACTGAGTAGGTTCTGTCTCACAGTAAAATGTCTAGTAGCAATTATTTCGTGATTTCTACACTTTGGTCCAGCATTTGGTTAGTAAATCTCACCTGGATGTCCGACCCAACTTGGGCAACATAAGCTATGCTTCCACATCGCATTCTTTTGCATCCCGTTGTCCATTTCGGATGACCGATTCGATAGTCTCACATAAGAACTTCAGTCTGACCATTTGATTGTAACCGATAAAGCAGAGACCTTTCGTGTGATAGTATTGCGGCAGCAAAATCAATGAACTGTGAGGAAGCGAAATGATTATCGTTATCTGTTACCAATGAGGAAATCAAAACCATCAATCGAACCGGCGAGATCAACATGAGCAAGCTTTGTGCCAACACAACAACATGAAGAACAAACTGTGGGTGGAGTTGGGATGCATAGCAGCGTAAAAGGAGGTCAAACAATCAAGTTTATTAACGAGAATAATGGAATTCTTAGTCAAATGCGCGGCCATATGAGGCCAATGTATGTACCTTGGAGTCACGCCTTTCAGAAGGCTCATGCCCAGGTGACCAGTATGGATTACTCAGAGGACCAGGTTTCGGAGTTTCTCTGAAACAACAGTGTAATCTAAGAACAAAAGTAATTCATTGACTGTGAACAGTGCTTCCCATTGTTGCTAAAGTTGGTGGAGTTCGGGGTGCCAGGGGAAGCCTTATCATCCCTGAGAATTCTCGCGGTTTGAATTTGAAATGGGTTGGGATTGGCCGGCACCGCGTTGTCCCGAGGATACGTAGTCGTCAGCAGGATGATCAGAGAACGGCAACCGGGTGTGTACAACCTCCACCCCGATTCCGGACGAAGGTGTAGTGACGGTGATGAAAACCATGTAACCCGCACGTTTATCCTTTGTCCAATCCACTTTGGGTTGGCACTACTAATAAATACTTGCACTGTTTGCCACTGCGTGCATGTGCGCTTATGCATGACGGCTTGGTTCAAGTATCGCAGAAATCCACGCTTATGATTCGTAATGTTAACTACTGGTTGTGTTCTCAGTAGTGAAACTGAGAATGCTATTATTGTTCTTTGAAAATCTGATTAAATGGAGTGTACGAAATCTCCTGATATACCTTTTACAATTTAAGATGTCCGAATATCGATTTAAAGTGTCGCAGCATCAATTTAAGATGTCCGAATATCCATTAAAGATGTCATGTTGCTATGTGGATAACACGATAGTGCAATTGCTCCGTCGTTTCACATTGTCTTGTACTGTTTGTGATGATCCTGTTGTCACGTTTAGTCCATCCAGGTGTGGTCACGACACTCCTGCTGTTTATTCGAAGTTCACTGGGCCTGCTATAGACTCGTGATTGTAGACAAGGTGTGGTTCCTTGCTCGGGTTAGCTGGGCAAGCACCCGGTCCCTTTTTGCAGCTGTACTATCCGACCGATCGATAAATGAACTCGATCGGTTGTGTGATCTTCGGGCCGGTACAGGAGGAGAATGAGATCTGAATCCGATGCTGCTCAAGGGTTGGTAGAGAATCACCACAGGGCCATCAGCTGTGAAACGATGTGCCATGTGAGAAATTCGGAATGGAAAATGATCAAGCGATGATGAAACTGGGCCAACGTTTGATTCGTCTAGAATACATGCACATTTTCTAAGCGGGTTTGGTGAACGGATAATCATAATAAACATTTGTCTTAAGTACGGATTACGCTATCCAATTATATAAAACAACGCAAAACTCTTGTTGGAATTTAACAACTTGCTTTTTTTCGCGTTGAATGATTTCTATAACTACGTCCAAGATAGAATTCTGAAAGATAGAAAGAAAGAAAGAAAGAACACATACTATGGAAAAATGCACATACGGCGAAGATGTTTTTTCCACCTTCAGAATAGTAACCTTTGGAATACTTTAGCACTGATTTAGCTTCTCGATGGCTCGCCCGAGCGAGAAACCTTGTTTACAGCTGCGAGTCTTAGGCAGGCCCAGTGAACTTCGAATAAACAGCAGGAGTGTCTGATCACACCCGGATGGACTAAACGTGACAACAGGATCATTACAAACAGTACAAGACAATGTGAAACGACGGAGCAATTGCACGATCGTGTTATCCACATAGCAACATGACATCTTTAATGGATATTCGGACATCTTAAATTGAAAAAGTTATAGTATGGATCTCCGGAAGGAAACTGAAGTCGGTTCCCCGAAAACGCTGCATAGAGGGAATGAAATGTCATCACTATGTGTTGCGTTCGCACTTAACATTTGGGTAAACTACATTCTTTTTCTTTCGCAATGAGCGTAAGTCCCAGATTATTCAGTCATTCACTAATCACTTGAAGTGGTATCATATCTACTGTACGGTGTGGGGACAGCGTGTGAAGTTGTGAGGGAAAAATCAAACCCTTTACTCATTGCGGGAGGGTTAGCCTGGCCCTCCCATGGTAGGGCTGTCACCTTGATCCAGGTCGATGAACATGTTCTCCCACCCTATCCCTCTGTTCAACCCGACTGCGATTGGTGACCTTTGACCTTCGCACTGATTTTTCCTAGTGTTTTTGATGTCTAAAGATTTGTCATTGTCCTGATCGAACTTTCATACGAATGTTTGTACACAGCTGAAGAGATAACGTGAAACAGTTGAATTCAACCTGTCCTGTGACGATGCCTGTTCTTGTTCTTATGAAATTCCTAAAGAGAACCGGATGTATGAAATTGTAAAATGCTGTACTACTTTTATGATTGAAGGTAATCCGAAATGATCAACGCACCGTGCAACCCGAACCAACTGCCCAGTCCAGTCTACCCAGAGAACCGGTATCTCTCACGAGTATCACATTTCTCTCCACCACGCATGTCAGTCGAGCAGGACGAGCTGCCACAGATGACGCGTGTATTCGTGTTGTTCAGAGCATTATGAAGGCCCAAACAAGATACACAGACCATACAGACGAAAGCGCTCCAGCCTCCATCCCAGGAACTGCAGAAACGGTAGAGCAGGGACGAGTTATGGGTTTCATGGACGATCTTGCCGACGGTGAGAACGTTTTACATTATTTTATAAGGACCACCAATATTACTAATTCTTTTCGTTTTGAATATTTTCCCAGTAATTCGCTTACTACTTCTGGCAATGAATCTGTTTTGTTCACACTGTAAAAGAATTATATATATATATATATGTATGTGTGTGTGTGTGTAATCACCAGCTGGCGAGCCAGCTTGGTGCCAACGCAACAACAATGGTAACAAAGAGCGGGCTGCTGGGATTTAAAACAGTGAAGAGAAGTTCAAACCGACACAGTGAAAAACAAGAATAAATTTTTTTTCTCTACTTCTAGCCTCTCTTATGATGGAATAATACCTTGGGTTTACTTAATAACTTTGTGAATAAACATGATCACCTGTTTCCAAGCTTCGAAATTTGAGATCTCCACGTGCGTTGGAAAACAATGACTGAATTTTAATTATCACTCATTGGAGTTTACCAGTTTCTTTTTTGTACATCATCTTACTCGAACGACTTGATCGGTGCGCAGTCGAGTGTTGGAATTGTGAAAATAGTGTAGATATGTGAATTATTTATTTCGCAATTCATTTGAAGACCAGGTTGTGTGATTTTACGAAAATTTACTTAGCTTTACTTTTACATTTGTGGGCTCCTTTAAAGCTAAATAACAATTTTCTAATAAAAAGACGGCTTCATCTGTGGAAACTACAAATTGTAATCATAACTAAAATGCCAATTTATAAATTCAGTTGCGCAATTCAATGAAATAAGATATCAATAAATTCAGCGATTCTCCACGAGAAGCAAAGAACATCCTAATATGTATATGTATATATTTGGTAATAAATAGTATATGAATGACTGGACAAAATTAATCTGGAAGCACACGACCGGGTTTGCGGTTCTTGCCGCTCGCCAGGCATGTGTATCCGGTATCCTTTCGTCTTTTCTTTTATGTACATGTACCCAGGGATGTATTTTCGTGAAAATATACAGATATATGAAGTTGTACGCTTATAAAGTCTATAACAACGATTATCCCTTAGTGCACAATCTAGGAAACTATTTCCGCTGTTCCAGATTTTGTCACATTTAGCGTCGCACCTCATCTTCTATCACATACCCTGAGGAAAGAATTCGACAATATAGTAACCTTGTGGTGTCGATATACCAAAAGGATACAGAAAAAGACAAATTAGTGTGGAAAGAAAAGTTGAACGGCAAGCCTACTGAATTTCATCACATCCTTTCATGGAAACAAAAAACACAAAACTTTGACCTTCATGCAATGGTTTTATTCTCTTGGGAAAACAAAAAAACAGTCATTTAACAAAAGTTGTATAGCTTAAGTTAACACTTCGTGGAAAGAACCGAAATCAGTCCACCGAGGGCTCCAGTTATATCTTGTCTGGAGATAATCGGTATACCGTTACAAGACTCAGTGAACAAACAGACTTCTAAATGCGATGGAAATCTTTATGGAGACCAACAAAGAGCACTGTACTGCTGTTTCTTATTGTTTGAGACTCGACAGCAGTGCATACGTTTTGTGTGTTCATGCCTGGACTGTCCCAAGGAGTGAAACTCACACATAAACTCATGGAAACTGCCTAGTGCCTACGAGAAACCGAAGGAGATAATCGAAACATTCCATGTCTGAACAGATTTCTACTTTCATAACTTTCAATTGTTCAGATATGTACCTTTTGACTGGATAACATTCTTGATATTCTTGCTATTCCATTGTGTCTCTTCCTCTGTTCATTTACCCTTTTTGATCATCCTATGCCTCATTGATTCAGGAAATGAAGACCACGCCGGTTCGGTTCAGTCAGTGTCTCGGCCCAGCCTTAAACAGGGAAAAGATAAACACGGAAAGAAGGACTATAGCCAAAGCCCTAAATTGAAGCAGGTGACTGATAAGGTAGAAAAAAAGACAAAGGGGTGAGTTCAACTACACACAAAGTATAAATAACATTTTTGTTTCCTTGAATATATGATAAAATAGTACCGATCTCATTTATGCATAACCTGTTTCAAGTTAACTGAGATCCTTCTTTGGTCCATTAATTTATGCGTTCTCCATTCATAACATCATCAAACCCCGAACGAGGTCAAGTAGCTCACTTTCAGTGTTTCATCATCACGTCAGTTTAGCACCACCACCACTAACCTTGAACTGTTCATCGACGTAATAGGCTGCTCTTTGATCGATCAATGAGGACGAAGTAGATGGAATAAGTTAGCGCTGCGAGCGGTATCAAATTTTAAAAATAATTCACAAATTAACTGAACCGGTTTACAATTGAGTGAATAAATAGATTTTCTTTGCACTGGACATTTTTAGATGGGTTTCAAGAATCGTGAAGGCTAATGAGACTTATGCGAAGAAATACCTCAATAAAGGCATCCTTGTAATCTTGAATCCTATCTACCATTGTTTTGTCAATCAAACCGGGTTTTGTAATAATGTTTCCTTCAAAAAAGCTCTGAAGCTTATTTTCGGGGTTAAAAAATCCACAATTATCTATGTATCTATTTCTACATTTGCTCGAATGCAGTCATATCATCCTTCTCTGGAATGTCGCCAAAAGACTTAGGTCCGGAATGCCGGTCTGAAATTTTTGTAATTCAGTACCCCATAGAAAGATTGACTTTAGTCTATCGGGTCCTGTAATCGAGTTTGGTTGGTGTAGTTGGCTGACATTGTATCCGTGGCTCAGCTGTAATTGATTCTATTATATGATTTCTTCATCTAAATCAAGATCACCTCCTTCACAAGGTTTTCACTCTGATTTCTCACAGTTTATTTTTATCGTATTCGTAGATTGTTCTACGCAATCGATCGTTAGACAAATCGTGTATTGCAATATTAAGAGCCTGGAGATATAAATTCATTCCTAGGAAAAGGATTACTTGATCTAGTTTTTTCTCTACAAGGTACATTATCCAGTGTTTCAAACAGCAGACGCCGGTTGCACCCCAAACAAGCAGGCTTAGTGGATCACTTCCTATAGAGAAGAAACACGATAAAATTCAGCATTTACACGTAATTGCACCAGGCGTTTTGGTTTCAACAATATTAATACCTGATTTAAACCCAAAGTGCTTCTGTCTTTGAGCGCTTTGATGCACCAGCAAACATCACTACCTTAAGTCACCCGGCCTGTTCATCCGTCGACCTGGCTCCACTTGCTGTAGACTGCCCAGTCTGCAAAGGTCCTTTTTGCTCCCGCTAGCTATCTTACAGTTTGTTCGTCCTAAGGAGCTTGGATCTTCGGCTTTTATAATTTTTGAAACGCTCTCTCTTCCAAAACGCAAAGGTGCTTTGCTCGTAGGTCGGCATTTTTCACATTTTGTATCCTTTGGCATTCAGACTTTTGTCAGTTTCAAGCGTTCGTTTATCCCTAAACCGCTCACTTTTCCATGGAGAAATTTATATAACCCCATTTCCGAATTTCAATTCAATTTCTCGCCCCGTCAAACTTGGAGTGCAAGACTATATACATGATTGTTTACATATTTTCATCATAATGTAAGATGGTTTTGAACCTTTGATCCCGTAAAAAGGCGTATAATCCGCGGAGCTGGACACCGGCCTCCAACGGATTGCGGTTTTCACACCGCCCAGCTGCCTTGAGGTCCGACTTCGGCATGGGTATTATGGCAGTATTCCGTCCACAAACAAATCATAGAACTTTTCTTTATCATAAAGATTATTGTACCATGATTTGTTTGACACAGTCGGGATTCAGATGCGTGTGAAATACATGTCATGTTATTGTCACAAAGATAAGGCACAGTTGACGATTCAGACCATAGCATTTTTAAGTTTGATTTGATAAATCATCATTTTGAATTGTAAAATCGTTTTGCTGAATCGGAAAACTAAAGGTTCGAATTGAGAACGAAACGCCGTGACCGAGTCCGCTTTCCTTCGGCGCACCTCTTTTATCAGTTGATCGCACGGTTTTTTACCAATCTGCACAACGAAGTCCATTCACCGTTCTGTTTTGGTCGCTTCTATTCCATACTGAACCAAGAAGGCCCATATCTATGGGACTGTTACGGTGAGCGACAGTTGAAGTATAACTGTCTTCGACCGCTGGGTCATTGAATAAAACGCCATAGTCTCTTAATATAACTTCAATAACTCAGACCAGAGCCTCCGGCAAACCTTTTTAATTCTAATTGGCATCGAGAAAAAGCGTCGCTCGGACTACTGAAGTCACGCCTAAGCGTAGTTGCTGTGGTAATCTTTAGTCCGAGCACATACAACGAGTTATTCTTCAACTGTAGCTGATTGTTTTAGGGTCGGCTTAGCTGTCTGGCTTATAACATACGGTTCCACCCAATTGACGTTCGTTTGCGAGCACGTAAGGTTGATACCTCCCTCATTGCAACACAAAGAACGTGGGCAGACAGTTAAAAAATGTGCGATCAACTGATAAAGGAGGTGCACCGGGGAAAGTGGACCCGATCACGGCGTTTTGTTCTCAATTCGAACTTGTAGTTGTACGATTTAGCTTTACGATTTTACAATTCAAGCTTATGGATAGGAAACTTGGCCTGCCTTACCGGCTAATACGAAGACAACTTAAGCTACTTGACCACCGCCACCAAGTTGAAGGCATAAACAAAGTTGTTTGCTCAATGTTCACTCATTCATTTACTGAATGGTACAATGGAGACTCAATAATTCTAGTCCATATTGCTGATGACTCCCAGTATAGGCGGAACAGCTCTTCCTTGCTCTTTGTCGGCCTTCACAAAAAGAAGCTTTGTGTTGTTCACCATGATATGCATTTTACTGGTTTATAGTGCGCCTATTTATTCCAGTAGTAACTGTGTTATTTTTTCGCCGATGTTTCATTTAACACTGATGCCCATGATATTTTTTTCAACTTTAGTGGTTCACGTAACCGTGCGCCAAAGTCCGCAGCGAAACGCTGCAAGATGGAATCATACTATGAAGCATTTGGATCAACACCAACGCAAGTAACTGGTCGCACCGAACAAACAAACACATCAGATGTCAGTGGCCGCCGACCCAATACTGTAATGTCCACGGAAGACAAGTTCAATGTAGAAAAAATCACCTTGCTTGGGCGAGTCAGACTAATATGCCGTGAAAACTTGACCGTCGCCCTTCAACTAACGGAGGTATTTTATGGTTATTTTGAATGAGTACCTTGACATCCATTAGGTTTACAGAAAATGAAAAGAAAAACAATCTGAAAGGATTTTGTGGCACAATATTGCCCATTGATGATTCCCTCTGAGTTTCTTTACCTACTATACATGCGTGTTTAATAAAGTAGAATAGTTCTTCGAAATAGGGGAAGATAAATAGCTATTTTTGTTCCATTCAAAACAATGAAGTGCTAACAGAAATTACATAAATTTATCAGTGTAGATAAGTCGGCTTTCCTGAACAATCTATATTCCGTGCTATAATAAACTGCACAAGTAAATGGAAATAGGGTGCCAAATATAAACACTAAGGCGAAACCTCAACTATCTGACTTTAATCACATTTTCTCATTCCCTAAAACCAGTAATAACTATTCTTTACAACTAAAATGCAGTAGGGTTTGAGTATGTCCTTGAGCTAATATGAGAAGGTGGTACTACCTGCAATATTCACTTATATTATTCAATGCGAATTAGGATTGGTCTTCCTTCAAACATAATATTTCTCCACAATTCTCAGTTCTTCCAGTCATCCGCACACACTGGATGAACTGAGGATTCTCAGTGAAGATGTATGATATCAGCCTTAACAATTGATACCGACTGCTATGTTTTCTGAGGTAATTAGTTGAAGCTTAACATGAGGGTGTTAGAATCAGACCAAAGGATTGGATAATTTACGTCGTTGTAGAATTCCTATAAGGGGATTTCGGGACCAGGGTAATCGATGGATGAAAACACAGTGAAACAGCTGTGTCGTAACCCGTGGCGTTCGTGAACCTACTTGATTTCTTGTCAACCTTAGCCTAACTGATTTCTCCATTTTAACATGGACATTGCTCTACTCTATTTTTTCTTCTTTTTCTTCACCCGACTGGGTAACCAAAACACCAACCGAAATCACCTCATAAGAGCTCACGTTTAACGATTGTAAAAACGTAAGCAGATGGCAATAATTCTGTGACCTAGGTCGGGTTTGAACGAACTGTACTCTAGGCTTGTGTGAGACAGACAGATTTCATGATGCGGCAATAGAACTCAAGTCAATTTAAGTCAGGAAATTTCTTTATTAAACACTATCTAGATTGAATTCAGTTGCCAAATGCCTCACAAAACAGCGAGACCTATAAATAGTCTAGGGTTATGGAGATAACTGGAGGCTGTGGACAAATCCTAGAAAATACGGTCCGGTGACATAAAAAGCGGGTAAGATAAGGAAAAATGAAGGAGTTAAACTCTTTCAGCTTGTGGGTATCATAGTAAACTGCTTTTTCCTTGTATTCATCCT